TTTTTTTTTTTTTCGTTTTTCCTCGTTGTTCGCTACGCGCGAGTGCGATCTTTTTATAGACTCAAGGTCACGCATCGGAAAAATAACCTTTTCCGGTGAGATTCATCATTTCGCTGATTGATGTAATCGACGAGTTCTTTCTTCTTTTTATTATTTCCTATTATACGTATTAGAATATAACGATTCTGGGTGTGATCTATTTATAGACTCAAGGTCGCGCTACGTGCATCGTAGATAACCTATTTCGGCTAGATTCGTCATTTCGCAGAATCGACGTTTTTTGTTCTTCTTCATTATATCCTGTTACATGCGAGCGTTTTATTCAAGGTTGCGCTCGCGGTGCTACACCGAAATGTATATTATTTATTCGCTGAGACAATTTTTCCGTTTTTTCTCGTCGTTCGCTACGCGCTTACTGTTAATTTATTCAAGGTCGCTCATCTGAGGTTTTGTCTTATCATGCGCTACGCGCGATTGCGATCCATTTATAGTACTCAGGGTCGCGTGCGTTAAATAAAATGCATTAATTTTTTGTCGTGTAATTCAGTCAGATTGAATGTGAAATTGGTTTTCTTATTTGTCAATATATTTATTCTAGTGTTGTTACTACATGAGAGAATATAATTAATAATAAAAAATAATGTTTATTCGTAAAGCGTTTAATTCGGTCCGAACATCAGTGCGATTAGTTCGCAATCGATTATGTCGTTGCGATCGAAGTATTCATTTTCGTATATGATTTTTTGTATTTTCGTAGAATCGTTCACATTAGCCGCGATATTGAGAAGACGCGAGTACTTTTTGTCTATGATGTCTGTTACATTGTCGAATGAGAAAATGAGACGATTGACGCAATATTCTAGATTGAATAAATTGACAACTGTACTGTTTGACAAGGTCATTCGTGAAGATGTCGAATCAAGACGCAACATCGGTATACTGTTAATTCGACCGAAATGCAATGTCACATCTCCGATGTATATTGGCGATGGCGCGTGTTTTCCTTTTGTATTTTCGGTTTGCAAAAGCGGCAATATGACGCGTTTATGTTCGACGAGCTCGTTCCATACGGTTGGTGAGAGGAACATCTCTTTGCCGTGACTGTCTCCAAGAACGACAGTTATCTCGCAGGGCAATTTGACGTTGATGCCGACGGTCAGATACTTGTATCCGGTAGTAGTTAAAGGATATCTTCGTTCCAATATGCGTACTGTGGTTCTGTTGCGAAAGAAAAAAATTAGTTCAGAACAAACAGTGATTAAAAAATACAAATACCTACGTGTCTTTTTTATCTACTTTTTCGTTATATTGTTTCTGCATATTGTTCGTTTCGGTATACTGTTTTTCCTTTTTTCCATCATGCTCCATGATGAAATGCTTTGCTGCCGTATTGTTGAAAACTCTTCTGATCTTCGCGTCATTCGTACGCTCGATGAGACGTCGAGAGTCGTCGTCGGCGTTGTTTGAAATCACGTACATGTCTCTCTCTCACGATGTTAATCGAACGATTCGTTCTTTCGCACTGATCGTCTGCGTAACCATGTAGTAATATATTATTTTACTTAAAACATCGTGTTAATCGTCCAATGCATCCTCTGCGGTGTATTCGAGTAAATTACTTGATTGAAACAGTCGATTAAGAAGATCGTGCAATTTTCTTAGCAGTCCGTCTGTAGGACAATTTACGTTGAGTAGTTTCATGTCGAAATTATCGGCATTTGTTACTGTTTGGGTGAACTCGTTGAATTTGTAATATTAACGTTTGTGTAGGAAATAAAGAGAACCGTCGATATATCGGAAGGCTAGAATCGGAGATGGTGGTATTCCCGGAAATATCGCTTTTAACGAGTGATATTCATTAACGGTCATGTCGCATTCATTCATCGACGCTACGCTCTCGCCATCGAAGATCACATACGTTTGTCCTCTGTTGGTGACCAATGCTGCGTTAACGCGCATTTCTGCGGGAAAGTTCAGGTCGGAATGCGTTTTCGGCCAACCATTTTTCAATTTTAAACTCGGATAATCTATCATGTAAATGTTATTATTCGCGAATAGCACAATTTCTCCTGATGGCCGTTGATACGCGGCGCTTATTGAAACATTCGCCGGAAGAAAACGAAGATAGTCGTTGAGCGCGAGTGGTACCTTGTATCTTTTACCATTGATGGCTATCATCCACATGCTCTTTTGATAAGTGACAAATATGCGTTGATTTAACACTAGTACATTGTCCACGTATGGTAGATTGCACAGATCTTTTTGTGTTGATGTCTTACGCGTGTCTGTAGTTACCGGCGGAGATCTTGTACTTGGTACTTCAATAGGATTTTTTCCATATAGACGTTGAATAGCTAAAATGTCCTCGATACTGAGTTTAACGGCTTTATTGGTGGCGTAAGGAAACATTAGAGAATCTCTGCGTGAATTGTGTGATAATCCCAATGAATGTCCGATTTCGTGCGTTAATGTGTAAAGTAAATGCTGCTTGTTTTCTGGTGTACTTTCGTTCAATTGTATATGCCAAGGTTCCGATACGTCTAAGTGTATCTCAGTGTTTTGCACGGGGTCGTTCGTAGGTGCAAACGCGTGTGCAAGTACTCCACCGGGTCCGTCAAAAAAACCGGAACAGATCGCTTGCTTGCGTCTGCTGTCGACGTATGTGTGAATGCCTCCGCGGTATGATATCAAAATGTCTGGATTTAACGTTTGACGTTCGAATGTTAGAGACGTGTTCGCCGTCCATATCGAGAATGCGTATTTCGCGAGTGTCAATGTTTTCGCATCCGCTAAGTGAAAGTTCCACGTAAGATGGGTTTTTTTCCATTTCACTGTATCCGTATTTTGTTCCTGGAGTGGCATATCTGGAAGTCCACATCGAGGTTTTCGTATTTGATCTAACGTATTATCGTTCATTACACCGTTACCCGGTATTTGATAGTATTCTTGAAATAATGCGATAGCCTCTTTAATTTTTTCATCCTCGATCGACGTGTGAGTAGTAACATCTACCTCGTTCAGGAAACCGTATCTCTGCAGATATTCTATCACTTCTGTGTTTACGAGATTGTTTACCGTCGGCGTCGACGCGCATACTGTTACGGAAACGAAAGCGACGAGGTAAGCGAGAGACATCGCGGCGTACGTGCACAGCGGAAACGTATTGTTCGACCGTTAATCGCATTCTGCCGAGTATGGGGGAGGAGGAGTGGTACGTGTGTCTATACATAGACACAGGAAATGAATCGGTAGGAGTGTCAATAAACGTGGTACAGTTCGTTTCAACATTTTTATTTTGTGAAGCATACATTAAAAACAGTTAACCTATAATATCGTCTAAATCGTTATGTTTATTGTTAGATAATTTTACGAACGACATTTGTCAATGGATTGTACTCTATTACTCTGTCATGAATAATTAGGCAATAGGCCGTGGTGTTCGGTGGAATGTTTGCTCTACATTCGAATTCGATACGAATGTCCACGGTTGCGCTTTTTACAGATTCGTTTTGACGAGAGCAATCGATCACCACGAGTGGCGCGGACGAAATAAATTGCGCGAGTGATAACAAAGTTTCGTTTCTTTCGTAGCCGTAGTACGAGTTCGCAAATTTTGCATACATGTCGTATAGTGTTGCGACTTTATTACGTTCGAAATTCACATTCATATCATCGTATGGAAAAAAATCGGAGTTCAAAAAGAGTTTCACGTTGACGAGCGCGCACGCGTCGAAACGAGTAATATCCTGAGAGAGTACGTTTCGCTTTCCAGTTTGAAGCGAAAGGATCACGTATCGTTATTTTTCCAAATGCGACGTTGTCTTCACAGCCCACGAATGCTTCGTCGTGCTCTGAAGTAGAGGAAATTCGTACAAATCCCAAGATCGAAATCCCATGCTGAGATATCGTCCGTTTTCCAACGTTCGCAAGAGTGATAATTTGTTTACGTCGTTCAGTATCACGTGCGGCATCTTCCATTGCACTTTTGATAAATAATGTGAGTGTAAATTCCTCGGTGTCGCTAGCGATAACGCAATTGTTGTCGTTACGCGCACGTATCAGAACGAGTTCATGTCGGGCGTTTATCACTATACGTTTGTAGTCCTCACAAAATCCAAGAAGTGTGTTGAGCGGTACACAGAAGTTAAACTCTTCAGATGTTGTTATTGATCGATTGAGCAATAAGTTTAGAGAAAGTGCAATTTTCCATTCTGCATTCTCTAACGTTTTATTTCTTTCAGCTGTCAACGAAATGTAATTTTTAATAGTGCTTGTAATACCGACGTTTCTGTTTCTGTCAATTTTAACTCCGTCTAATTCGTAACGAATCTCGTCGAACATGAATACAACGCAGTTATTCGTCAGTTTCGGTGGTTGGTTGGTACTTCCTTCCTTCTTTTTTATGTCGAATTTTCCTTCGATGTAGAACAAACTTTCGCACGGTAACGTGTAGAGATCCTGGTGTTGAATCGGTATTCGTATTTCATCGCTGTATCCGAATGTAGTGTTAGCGTACGGATTATAAGTGTGAGTCTCTATTTTAACGATGCGATCGTCGAAGATCGGAGCACCTCCGATCTTCAGGATGTCACGATTCATTTCTCACGACGAATCCGAGGGACCGTAAAAAGGCGACGTTCCTCGCGTTTAATCGACCTCCTCTTCTTTGTTTTTTCGTTCGATCGTATCGATTTTTGAATGGCTTCCACAATGTCGATGTTTGCGATACGTTCACTCTGTCGTACTAATCGTTCAGGACGAGCATCTTCCACCCTCGAACATAGTTTTACGTCGTATGTGTAGTCGAATCGATATCTCTTCGCCGCGAAAGTCGATCAACTGTCCGTTTTGATCCACTACACGTATCGTTATATCGGTAATGTTTCGTGCGATGACCGGGAGATAAATGACGTGCGCCGGAGTAACGGATAGTTTATATCCTGGAGGAACGTTCGCCGCGAATTCGTGTATCGTGTGTACCGGTCTGTCGTTATTGTACGCACCCGAGGTAATGTTACACTCAACGCGAATTATATTCACGTTCATAATTTTAACCGGTTCGTCCGATACGTGCCACTTGTTCGGTCGTAACATACGAGACGAAAAGCCCAATAATGAACCGATACTGTTCGTTTTGGAAAAATCAACTAGATATTTACATTTGATCTCACTTCTCATGATGTTTTCGTTCGCGCGAAGAATCAATACAGATTTCGCCCGTTCCATAGTTTTTTCATCTTCGAATATTAGATCTATCTCGTCGAATTTTTCGAGTTCGTCATTGTTGATAGTACTCGGTAGTGTATTGTGAACTATAGCGGTCCTCAGATACTTTTCGATATCGTTCAATTCGTACGAATCGACGGGAATCGTGATCGTAATATCGTCGGTGTCGAATTTATTATTCGAGGAGGTGACGTTCGGTATCGTGTTGTACGTTTCGAAATTCGTAAGACCCAATTCTTATTCGCTATCGCTCAAGTCCAAAGCGGGGAAGTAATTCGCCGCGAGGACACTGTTTTTTCCCATTAGTGAGAGAGTCAATGACATGATCGTAGCGCGAAAGCCACCGCTGAACTGTTCGGATTGTAGTGCGATCTATGACACGAGGACTTTTTTCCTCTTCCAATCGATCTCCCAGAGAAACCGTAGACACAACTGACCGCAAATGCTTTGATCGTACGACTGATACGATCGCCTGTTGTATGCGATGTTACCTCCGAGATATCGTTCCACTTCTTTCGGTGGTCTCAGATTACCGAAACCATCGAAGTAGACAGATTCGTTTCCCCTCTTCGCGTAAGCGACCCAGTGTGTACCGGGGGCTGTCGAATCGTCGAGATTCACGATACCGCTCTCGTTACGACGTGGTTTCGCGGGCATCGCATCGCGCATGAATACACCTCTGAAGAATGGCAATTTTAAAAGATACGCCGAACGACGTAATTGCTCGTTCGTCGTGATGCGGAAGATCGGTATTCTAAGATCCTCTACCGTTTTCTTCCATGATGTTTTTTTTTATCCTCTTCGTTCTCTTCCTCACGCGACCTCCACGTTTGTGTGGCGCAATGTAAGACCGCGACCCTCCATCGCGCAATTGTGACGTTGTAATTCCTTGAGTTGTCGTAGAGCGGCTTTTCGATCGCCCACTACTTTTGCCACGCTAGCTGCTCCACCAATCAAAGATCCGAGCGCACCCAACATCGGTAAAATTGGCAGAAAACCACCGCGTTTCGCTACAGATGAAATCCTCGTTTTCCTTGATTTTTTCTTTTTCTCACACCCATGCCCAATTTTGTCTTCGCCTTCATGGTTGCCCACACGGCGGTCGCGACGGCTTTCTCACCGAACGTCGAATCGCTTGCTGTAATACGCTGTTTTGCTTTCTCGGCGAGAGCTCGATCAGCACTGTGTCGACTGGCGAGGTCTTTGCTTTGCGAATACGCGATATCGTGTTCGCGACAAGCCGCGTCTAATTGATTGATGCCTCGATCGCCGCGAGCTAATCGTTTCGCAAGACGCGTACCTGGTCCGTAAAATTGGTATCCAGGAATGTGTAATTCAAACGGAAGCGCGTTTATCGTCGCGTTCAGTAAACCCGTGCCGTGCGCAGGTATCATTCCAACGCGATTTTTTGCATATCAGCGCGACATTGGGGACAATTCTTGATAAGAGGCGGTGGACCGTCTATATGCGTTTTTTGATTCGGAAGATTATAATGCTCGAAACATATACGACAACGTTTCACCTCAGTATCGGCTTTTATATGATCGGGTAATCGATTCCACAATTCTTCGATATAATTTTCGAAATGGCGCAGAAGGATGATCCTTGGTACGTATTGCAGTTGTTCGGCTGTAAAAGCGAGAATGTCGCGTTTGTCCATTATTATAATAAACATTTTTTTTTCATTGAATGATCACTCGTCACAATAGATGATAGACTGTGCGAAAGGCTTGTCTGTTCGCGGTATAAATAGCGCGTGACTTTCCCCTGTCGCATCTAAGTTCGCGCACGCGCGTCAAAAGTGCGACAAATGCGATTCGTGCGACAATCTCGAACGATAGGAGTATCGAATCTCGATCGGAAGACGCGACTGATGTCGAGTGACATGGTCAGAGAGAATTGCAGACACGGTCCTGCACTACCTAGTTCGATACGTTGCATCATTTGCGGACCTTCCAATTGTGGTAAAACGAATATGTTGCTAAGTCTGATAGAGAGTCCACATGGTTTACGTTTCGAAAACGTTTACGTTTATTCGAAATCCTTGTTTCAACCTAAATATCGATATCTCGAAGAGCTGCTGAAATCGATCGACGATATCGGTTACTATGCTTTTTCTAATAATAGTGACGTCATTCCGCCTAGCGAAGCGCTTCCAAACTCGATTTTCGTATTCGACGACGTAGTCTGCGACAAGCAGAATACTATCAGGGAATACTTCGCCATGGGTCGACATGCGAGTGTCGATTGTTTTTATCTCTGTCAAATATATGCGAAAATACCAAAGCATCTCATACGCGATAATGCCAATTTGCTAATTCTATTCAAACAAGATGGCACCAATCTGAAACACATTTACAACGATCACGTAAATACTGATATGTCGTACGAGAAATTTTGCATACTGTGTCATCTATGTTGGCAACGTAAATATGGTTTCGTGGTTATAGACAAGGACAGCGCGTTACAGAACGGCAGGTATAGACGTGGCTTCGACGATTTCGCGATTCTGTAAGTCCTACAGTGTTTATTGTGACAGTGCGACGGTATGGACGAAACGAATAACATCGCCGAACACGAAAGAACCGCAAAACTGATCGCGAAAACACGTGCGTCGATTCGTAAGAAACACAGAGCGTTGAAAACGGGCATAAAGGAGAGCGAAATTGCCCTGGAGAAAAGATTCAAACCGATCGTAGAACCGTTGAGACAAATTGTCGATATCACTGAATGAGACAAACAGTTGAAAATTGGAGATGTCGTGAAAGTAAAAATGTCGAAAGGTAAACGTGAGCACAGTGACAACGACAATGATGATAATGATGTTAATGATGATGCAATTGCTAGAAAAAGTAAACAAAATCGATCTCCGTTAAAAGAACAGTCGTCGAACGTTACGTCACAGTCGATAGATTCGCAATTTCATTTCCCAGCGGTACAGGATGAGGACGTTTTCGAAACCTCCAACGATGCTGATCCATCTCTCGAAACGTCTGTTAGAGAAGTTTTAAGGACACCTCAAGGTCGCGATAGATTGAACAGTCAGCTAGGACCATTAGGACACATATATATCAATGCACTTCTGAGTGGTGACAAGAGAAATGAAATCGATAACGTGTACGGTGTTTATTTCGATGAGAACGGTACAATGTTGGGTGATAAAAAATTCGATGTGGATACAGACGATACCATAATAATCGATGGAAACAGATATAAGGGTACACGAGGTCTGTACGAGTTAATTTTCAAGAGACTTCCCGACGACGACATCTACACCGAGAACGATAAGCAAACATACAAGAGTATACTGTTGACAACTAATGCTCACAGACGTCGTCATAACGCTGAAATGCCTGTCAAAAGTAACAAGGGACACAAGTACAAATATATTATCGGTCCACTCTTTTCTGCGCACAGAACTATGAGTTTGGGTGCGGGTGTGCCGACGACTATGAGGGTAACGGACAACAAAGTCGATTACGTCCATTGGGACGATCCGAATGAGTTGGTGGACCGTCTTCAGTTGCTCGATGCCTCCCGTAGTGCTGGCAATAACGCTCACGACAACGAAATTCTATCGATAATCGATGAACTTCGCGAGTCCGGATTTATCATAAATTGAATCGTTGTCAATAGTAGTAGGAAACGTAAAAGACAAAACGGATCGGAGATGAGTGTCGAGAAACGAAGACTTGTGGAGGAGCTTCACGCATCCGCGCGGAGAAATTTTCCGCGACGACGAGTCATCGTACGCGGTCTTGACGATTTATGGCAGGCAGATGTTGTTGAGATGCGCCCTTATGCGCGATCGAATAAAGGTTTTAACTACATTTTGA